AATCAAAATATCATTTAATTGCATATTTAGTGCACGTGATTTCTTACAGTTAGCATTATCAACTTGCTCTGGTTAGTTAAAGCACATATTTAAACCCATAGAGTGCTCTGGTATTACTTATCAACTAAGCCACAGTTTGCAAACTGGAATATATACATATATGTATACACACATGTATGTAGCCTAGATATTTGGCACTTAGAGCAGAACAAGCTGTGAAAATTCTATAGGTTTCCAGTCATTTTTTCTATGGAAGGAAACCAAAAGTACCAGATATTGATGCCCCATGTATTATAAGTTTTCCTTCTAAATAACCACACTGTTTTAAGGGACAAAAGGTGAATTTCCATAAAGTCAGAATCTCTCCCATCTCGCCCATCGGGGAGGAAAGGACAGAAAGGTTCACTTGGCTGAGGTTCTCAGATGAGCTGGCTAAGTTCCATTAAGCACTGTTAGTTAGCCTCTGTAGTCCAAAAATAAGTGAAGTAAACCAGAAGCCAGGCCTCAAGCAACTGGGCAGGACAAAGGAAAAACAAAGATGCGGGAATAAGGATTCTTACACTACACCAAGCATCAGCTGAAGTGCTCTAGAATACAGCAGAAGTTTTAATCCAGACAAATGCTTCTATATAGATCTCACATCAGCTGGGCTTCTGATTTTTTTTTTTTCTGTGAGATAGAACATAAATCGTATCTGGCAGCAAACTAGAAAAAGGCTGTTTATTCTAACAGATTCAAGCTATGATTCAGTGCAAGCTCTGTTGTGCGGTAGTCTAGCGCAAGCCAAGACAGACACCAGAAGCCAGGAGAAAGAGCAAGAACAGTGAATTGTGACCTTCCAAGGCACCACTGCAAGTCTGCCTGGAGGACACTTACCTTAAATGTGCAAAACCAGCTAAAGCAAATACCTGTTTTAGGAAAAGTAAAGTTTCAGACTGGCCAGGCAGTCCAGATTAAAGCAGATTCTCTTAATTACCTATACCCTTTTGAGCGCAATACTACTGTTACACAAGTCATCAGGCCCACACAGCAAGACAGAATACTTGTGATCTAAGTAAAGTGAGTCAAATAAGACGAATTGAGGCATCTTTCAAATTATTGTCACCCACAAAGGAATACATTTTTCAGAAAAAGAAATCTCAGAAAGAGGTAAGATACACTGCTGTCAGTTCTGCAATAAGGAATGCTCATGGTAAATTCAGAAGTTAGGTTTTTAAAGAAGTCCTGATTGAACTTGTTTGGTAGCTGAGGGGGAGGACAGGGCTGCAGGAGTGGCCTCTGTGAGAAGAAGTCACCAGGAGCCGTCCTCGTGTTGCACAGACCCAGTGCCAGCTGGCTCTGTGATGGACCAAAGCTGAGCCTGTCAGCAAAGCTGGTGGTGTCTCTGTGAGAACATACTTAAGAAAGGGTAAAAACCGCCGTGTCGTGGCTGGGAGGGAGGAATGAGAACATGTGAGAGGAAGTGCCCAGCAGACACCAAGGTCAGTGAAGAAGGAGGGGGAGTGGGCGGCAGTGCCCTGTAGCCCGTGGGGACCCCATGCCAGAACAGGCTCCTGGCAGGAGCCCAGTGGCCTGTGGAGAGGAGCCCAGGCTGGAATGTTTTTCTGGCAAGGAACTGTTGCCTGTGGGGGACCCACGCTGAAGATGTCCATTCCTGAAGGACTGTACCCCGTGGAAGGGACCCAGGCTGGAGCAGTTTGTGAAGGACTGTCTCCCGTGGGTGGGACCTCACACTGGAGCAGGGGAAGAGTGTGAGGAAGATGGAGTGTCAGAGATTAAGTGTTATGAACTGACCAGAACCCCCATTCCCCATCCCCCTGCCCTGCTCGGTGGGGAGGAGGTAGAGGAGCTGGGATTGAAGTTGAGCCTGGGAGGAAGGGGGGTGGAGGAGAAGGTTCTGGTTTTGTTTTTGTTTCTCACTATCTCTATTTTAAATTGGCAATAAATTAGAGTCTGTTTTGCCTGTGATGATAATTGGTGAGCGATCTTCCTGTCCTTATCTCGATAAGGAGCTTTTTTGTCTGTTTTCTCCCCCCCGTCCTGCTGAGGAGAGTGAGAGAGCGGCTGGGGGGGCACCTGGCAGCCAACTGAGGCCAACCCACCACAGAACTTTACTGTTCACCCATTTCCAGATGTAAGTCTAACAGATATTTGTACAGTCTTGCAGAGGACAAACCTGCGAAGTGTCAGGCATGTTCTCCTTCTGCTGCTACACGCTTTACAGTGCAAATTCTCCACTGAGGGTTTCTCTCTCACACTACATACCTCATTTTTGACCAAATCAGTTTGTTTTCTTGCATGATGATCATTCTAGAGTCATATTTACACATGAAAATACAATTTTTAAAAGTAAATAATTCTGAATGCGAAATTCAGCCCTGCTGGCAATAGCACAGGCTCTGTCATCACAGTTAAGATGCAATAAATTACCTTTTGTTGTTTTTTTTTTCTGAGACGTGTTCAACTCAAAACCTGACATTTCTAAACCCATGGTCCCTTTTCATCATCTTAGAGAGGCAGTAAAAAAATTTCAATAAAAAGCAAACTTAATACATTATGATTCAAGGAAAAGATTTTATTTTAGGGCTAACAAGTTGATAATAAATAAAGGAATATAATAATGTATAACAGATGTTCTCATGCACTTAACATACAATAACGCTGGCTTACACTGCTGTTTGGACAAATTGAGAAGAGGTATTTGGCAATGTTGTAAGTCTGAATAGGTTAGATATTATAGAACAAGAAAATCTTTCAGATGTTTTTACATTTCTTTTATACAAATTCAAATAAATATTAATACATGTTTTTCCTCAGATTTTGTGTTCACTTTTAACATGCCTGATAACTAAGCCACAGTAATATACAACTGCCAAGAAAGAGTATTTATGAATTATACTTATTAATATTCCTAAAAATGTTATCATATTTATGTCACATTGTGCAAGCTCTTTAGGTAAAATTAGATTTTAGGAAAAACTGCAGAAAATTTAAACTCATTAAAACATACCCAGTGCAAAGGCCAGTCTAGTCCACACGTTATGGAACTGTAATGTAAGCCAATATAATTTAAATAATAAAACATGCCTATATGATTCGGAGGAAGCTGAATATGTTTTATGTTTTAAAGATCTGACATCTAATATGCAGATTCTGCAGTATCAGACATTTTTCAAATCTTCATGAGATGGCAAAATAATGTTAAGACTTTATAAGTAGGCTTTTTTTTTTTTAGGATAACTCACAGTAACAGTACTACAGTGGCCAAAAAAGACAAACTATTATAATAGAAATCAATCTGATTAAAAAATTAAATATTCCAATTAACACTGAAAAAGTGTTTGTAATCATTATTTACAATTCAATGATACCAGTGTATAACTCCACACAGTCAAAGTATACCACTTTCCAAGCAAACACCAATTCCCGTATCCCCATTCAAGCATTCGATAGTAGTATGTTGTTTATGCGCAACGTATCAGTTTAAAGAAGGAGATCGATCTGTGGTCCAGAGTAACTCTATATATGGCCATTTGGTTTGCAAGCAGCGTTTTACAGGAGTGTCATCGGTCTGTAGCATTGGTTCTTCAAAACCCATAACAACTGCTGTGCCTTCTACATACATGACCTGTCAAAATAAATCCAATTATGTCAGCCTATCTTTGTTTAAAAACTCATAATGTGCAATGATTATTTCACCGGGTTCGGAGATTATTTGTTATGAAACTTTTTTTTTTTTACTACAAAAATCAAATCCATGAAGTTTTATAAACTTTTTTGTTTTAAAATTAAATGAGGTAAGAAATCGAAAAAACCTAATCCCTTAGACTCGAGTGCCTGATAATCCTGATCAGGCTATATCCATTTGACTGTTTACTTCAACAGACAGTAAAGGCCAAAACTGGAGGGAAAAAAAAATCTAGGAAATGCAATGCAAAAATTCTGTGACAACAGATCTTCTACTACTGTTGCAGTTGCAAAGTTTGATATTGTTATTTTTATAAGGACAGTGTTCCTTAGACTTAATGCTATGGAACTGATTTTCCATAACATAGAACTTCAGTTGCAAATCAGCTCTATTCATAAAAAATATTTACAATGCTATAAGCAGAATCTCTTGAAAACAAAATTTGTTTAAATTTTCTTGATTTTGTATAGATGTTCAATAGTAAAGATAAATGCATCTTTGAATGCTTTTGCCTATATTTCAGGTATGAAACTGCTGGAGATTTCACAGGGGTAATTTTAAGGACTTAACTCCAAGCTATTCTGAAGACTGAGCATATTCATTTTCCCAAAGACTCTTCTTACTTGAAGTTATTTTTGTTCCTTATGTGAATTAGTGCCTTATACTCTGCGACCCTAAATTCTAATTCAGGAGCTAACTTAGAAGCAGTCACGGTGTGTCATGGATACCGCTCCTTCCATGAAAGCTGAAAATGGAACAGGTAATTTTTGTCCCCCACTGACTGGTTCCAAAAATACTGATTTTTTGATGCAGGTCTGGAGTACTAAAATATTTCACCAAAAATACGAAACATATCAACATGGATGTAGGGTTTACTTATAGAAGTTGCGGTTTGTCCGTGTTACATCTCCATTGTCTATTACAGTTCAGATCCCACTTCTCACAGATAAGCATGAGAAGTACTCCATTGAAAACACGTAGCTTAAGAGATCTGTCCAACTGATCTACATATATGGTAGTATACTAGCTAAAATGTGATCAGGAGCACAAAGCAGTTTCCAATTCCAAATACATAATTTTGGAAGAAAATTATCAAAATAATAGTTTTGTAAAAAGTCTGTTTCAAGTTACAGTATTTTGCCTGTAACTATCATCAGTTTTATAATTTAACACAGGAAATCTGTTCTGCATCATAATTGTTATTAAGGCTAGATTTATGTTTCTTAAATCTTACCTTTTCATTATAGTTAGATTGCTTCAGTCCATTGTAATGGTAAACAGTGAATGACTCTGAAACCCTGGAGTCCTAGCAGAAAAGAGGACCGTTAATTTCACGTAACAAATACACCGTGCCTTGACAGTCTCTTCTCTTTACAACTAAACAGATGCATTTAAACAGGAAGACTCAAGGGAATTGTAAAAAAGTACAATTTCTTTTAGATGACATCATCTCTAAGATTTTGTTCATTTTATCTTTCTCATCAAAAATAGTAATGTCAATAAATTAATGGGTTAACGCCCCCAAGAGCAAGTTGCGATGTTCTGTGTTCCTCTGGACACTTTAAGTTACAACTTCAGCACTGAGCATGTAGAAACTGTCCCAATTTTTCAAGTCAGACACCTTACGCAGTAGCCACATGCGCGTGTATTTATGATGGTCTGGATGCTACTAAGTTAAATATTTCCTAAGGACCAGATCCAGCCTCCAAGCCCCCAGCTGAGAGCTGAAAAGTTATTCACGCCCATGCCTGCCTCACTGCAGGCACCCGCTCAGCTGAGCCTCACAGCAGATGAACTGCAGTTGCCAACCTTTTACCGCTCCAGGCGTTTCAATGCCTTAGTCCGAAAAGGACTGAAGAGCTTTGCATTTCACTGAATCAGGAAACACAAATGAGGGGTAATATCATCTCTTTTGTGCCTACTGGACCAGGCTCCAAACAAAAGCTTATCGCTTTTTAAAGTACGTGGAGGTAAAGGCTGGAATGCAAAGAAATCTGCTCAGGTTGCAGTTACATCCATCAGGTTATGAAAAGCCCTCATTCGTTTTTCTCCTCTTAAATGATTCAACCCCCTTCTCTCTGTATGGGTCTCTCACAGCAACCCAGGCTACTCAGTGGAGGGAGGGTGCTGAAAAGGGAGGTAAGCGGTAACTCTGCCTACAGAAGTTGCTTCACAGAGATGAATAAAACCAAGCTTTGCTGGGAAGGAAAGAGGACACTTAATTCTTTTCCCCGGGGAAGGTATGCTCACCCTGAAGGAAAAGAAGGGCTGATTTCCAGTTCCTGTCTCGTGGATGTTAAGAGTTTTGTGCAGGAATTGTTTCCCAAAAAAAGGGCTACCAGAGAATTCAAGAATCCCTCTCTCCAGGTGACTGCCCTAAGCACTAAAGAGTCGGGCTTGCTCTCTCAGGCGGAATGATCTTTGAATATTTTTCTTCTAAGCCAACAGCTTTGAAAAGGAAAGCTGAGATCCCTTCCTGCTTTTGAGGTGGAGTTTAGTACTTTCTAGGAGAGTAAAATGGGGTTTTGAATATTCTCAGCAAAGAAGGAATCGAATCTGGATCTTCCAAGCACTAGGTAAGTTCTCAAGGGGAACATCAACAATTCCAACCATCACTGGCATCTGCTATTTCCTCATAGTATTTTAAAGAAAGACATTTATCTTCATTTCTGCAGAATTTCACTTTCAGAAAGAATTCTGAACGAGGCTCCTGCTGTCTGATCCACAGAGCACAGACAGATTGGACAACACATCTGTGCCCTCAGCATTCATTCAGTAACTGATACTGGCAGGTCCCAGTCCAAAATGTGCTGATTGTTCAGCCCGTACCCTTACGGCAGTAACCCTTCCCCCATGTGCTGTACTGGACCCAGCAAAGGTTCAACAAGCAGAGGCAAAACTGAGTGGTGGGGAACCACGTGCAGCAGGGAATTAGTACTTGATGGACAGGCACTGACCTGGGGGCTCAACCTTACAGCAGGGAAGGAGTTTCTCCACCAACCCCCTAGGGGACTATGGTGGGGATCTGCCCATGATTCCACTACGCTCCCTTCTCCAGCTGCCTTCTTCAGGCAATGATGCCCTTCAGCAATAGGCAACAGAGGCAGCAGCCCCATACCATGGCTCTTTTCTCCTCCAGCTACCTACGACCCACAGTAATGGACAGTTTAGGCACAGCCAATCATGGAGGATGTCCTTTGGCTTTCTGAACTTCATTCTAAGCATCTGGGGCCTAAAATTAAGCAGTGGAGGCTTCCAGATTTGCAAGTGTACTATAATTGCAAGAAATAAGATTAAATTACATTCAATTGTAAAGCTATTTCCAATTCTGGTTATACAAAGGAAAGGAAGAAGAAACAGTTGGCAAATACACAATGCAGATGTAATTCTGTAAATCTGGAGAAAATGAACACTCTAACTCCTTCTTTTTCCTCTAGGTGATGAATCATCTCTTAATGATGCATTCAGTCTCTACCATCTTTGGCAGTGCAGCGTCTTCTCAATGGCCGGACTGTTTCATAGTAGAAAATACTGCACCCAAACAGTTCTGCACAGACCTTAACAAAAACGGTCTTGCTGAAGGCATTTTAAAAATGTCAGTTTCACATTTCCATGGTTGTAAAAATTAAGCCACATAGTTTCAATGACATGTTAAGCCACAAAAGCCTCCAAAGAAGTACTCCTTTCAGCCCTTCTCTTGCCTCACCAGCCTGTCTTTCTGTCACTGGGGAAACCCTCTCTCTCCTGCCGATACAAGCATTTGCATGACCATGGAACAAACCTCCGTAAACCTGCAAAGGGAGCTCTCCTCCAGACCAGTTCCCTGTTCTGGTTTACCACATATCTGTACCAAGAGGTTGGTGGTGGCTGGAGGGTGGCAGCACGAGGGCAGGACAATGCAAAGGGAGTGCTAGGCTAACACGTGCTTCCCAGTGGTGGTGCTATCTTATCCAATACATGGAACAGATTGAGAGTTTGAAAATAATTTTCCATTACCCTGGCAGATACTGACTTCCACATATGCTGAACATAAGTCTATCATGACATTTTGTTAAACTGTCAAAAATGTTACATTCTTAGAGATACACATTAAAATAGTTTTAAATATGTTTGTAACCTCTTCTCTTTTAATAGCAATTACAGCAGACATTTGTAATACTGATAAAAACAGTGCAGCCGTGTGTTCTCAGAAAAAACAAACTCAGATGAACTTTCTGAGTAGGGAACCAGTCCAGCTTCATATGCAAAATGATTATATATTTCCCAAAGTTAATTCTAGAACTTGTCGCTACAATGGAGTTTCCTTCCAGTGTAAAGCTGACAAAATCACAGACACCTTATGCAAAATGGAAGTCTACAGTTTGTTGGGTAATACAAGGAGTTATTTGCTGGTCAGCTGTGTCGAATGCAATACCTACTATTAAAACCAGCTCTGTGATATTGATGGAAGTGTTCGATGAGTCTCAAAGCCAAGCAGAATAGACAATGCTCTGCAGCAATAAAGCTACATTGATTACCTGCTCAGGGAAAAATTCTTGCAGAAAGGGACCCAGTAATATGATGCCCAGTCCTTCTGGGTCTAATTTGGTCTTCATGAGGTTTACACTATGACAAAAACATGGAATATAAAAGTATGAGTAAGCCATTTTTATTCTTGCATGACCAAGTTATGCTGTGCTACCACAGTGCTGGCTGCCAAGTATAGCAATACTATTCTATTTTTAACTGTAAGTGACAACTGCACCAGAATGGCACGCAAGTTGCCAAAACATGGTTATTTTTAAATAAAAGTAATCTGTTATTTTAAATTAAATAAGTGATAGTTCTGAAGGACCACCATATTTGGTAAAATAATTTGAAACCCATATAATCTACAACCAGGTTTACAGCCCAAAAGGCATTTTGCTGTCTTGTAAGCATTCTTGAACTTAGACACACAAAAGAGTCATCTTTTAAATACAGCTCCATAACTGCCAAACAACCTGTTCTGAAATGGAGATCTGAAAAGCCTCCAAGATTTTCTAAGTACACTGAAATAAAATTAAGTTGAACAGATACATTTCTTATTTACACCACATCCTTGATATCAAAGAAGCCAAACCCAATAAATAATGAAAACATTAACAATACTAACCCAAAAGCCTTACTGCATGAATATGGTATAATTTCAAGTCACTACAAATGAATGTCAATTATAACTTTGTATTTCTACTTAAGCAATGTATTTCTACAAGCATCAGATCGCTTAAACATTTATTTGCATCTACCCATCCTTTTGCCTAAGTTACAAGTTGTACCGTACACAAGAATGTCCTCACTGGGTCAAACCAACAGAGCATCTTGCCCAGTATCCCGTTTCTGACATTGGTCAGTAGTGGATGCTTATGATAGAGTACAACAGGGCAGATACAGTGATATCCTTAGTTTACCCTCCCCATTTCCAGCAGTCTGCTGCTCAAAGACATCTTCAATGAGAGGCAGTATCTAAAACACAAAGATATATATTTTTTCTTTCCATGCATGTGCCTAACTGGCTTTGAACCCATATACACTTGTGGCATTTAATAAGATCCACTCACAAAATTAAAATTAAACTATGGATTCTGGGAATAAGTATCTCCTTCTGCTTTGAACCTGTCACCTGATAATTCAGGTTAATGACACCTCATTTTTTTTGTATTGGGAGAAGCAATTAATAATCATTCCCTATTTACTATGAAACTCCTGATTTTAGAGACCTCTCTTACATGACAACAGTTGTCTCTCTTTTCCAGGTCGCACAGTCCTAACCTAGTTCTTCCTTGTACTAATGCCATTCTGTACCTTCAGTTAGCCTTGTTGCCTTCCTGATACCTTTCTATAATGTTCTTTTTTAAGATGAAGTGTCATGCATTTATACAGTGGCATAATTCCTAGAAATCCCACTCCATATGTCTGCCTATCACTGAGTATCAGTTTAAATCTAAGATTTGTTTCCTGAATGGTAATATCTGGTTCACAGCCCAACAATGTGTATGCAAAATAAGGATTGTTTTATCCCATTTGCAATCAATCTACATTTACTGTATTGAGACTTCTATCTTCCAGTAACTTCTGCTGCTCTTCCACACCATTTTTTAGTATCTCAAATACTTTTGTATCGGCAGCAAACTATCATATAAATCCCTACCTCCAAGTCCTCGCTGGTGCCATGACAAACATCACAGACCTAACACAAATTCCTGTAAAATTCCCCTAATGATCTCCCTCCATTAAGAAAAAATGACATTTTTATCCTTTGATCAGTTATTTATCTACAAGAAAACCTTCCTTCCTACCACATGTTTACACATGAAAGATTTACATGTAATTTTCCCCAGATAGGCCTTCAACTCCTTTTCTAAGTACTGTTACCTGTTTGTCACCTTCTCACTCTGGTACTGTTTGGTACCAGGACAGTTTACAGTGGTATGTAACCTGAAAGAGTTCAGCAATTTTATTCTGATGTTTCTTCAGAATTTTGGGGATTTTACTCATCTTGACACTTCAGACTCTTAGTTACTCTGACCACCCCTAAAAAAGTTTAAGAGTGGAAACCTCCCTGTAATCTTCCCAGTGAAGATGACAACTATTGTCTTCCCCAGTGAATATAAAGAGGAATTCACTACACTTTTCCTACCGACTTTGAATACTTTATAATATTGGGGATCACCTAGCAGAACTACAGACCTTCTTACAAGTCTCCTGGTTCTGATGGGCTTAAAAAAAAATACTATTAGCTTTTATTTTATAACTCTGCAGATTATTTGTTAGAAGATTTTAACTCTGCTTTATTTTGTACTTACATTTAACATTCCATAAATGTAGATTCCTCCCTATTTTTTTCATGTAGGCACTACATTTTCCTTTCAGAAGACATAGTCATAGCTTCTCATAGCTGCCTTGTTTACCACCAAGGTCTCTCTGCTGCAGGCAGAAGGTGTCTTTCTAACCTCTTCTTCATTATTGTTGCATGTAAGCATTTTATCCTTCTGGCTACCACTTATGTGCCTTCATTTTTAAGTAGCTTCCTTCCTTGGTCCTAACATATTACTAGTAGTAAATAATTTGGCTTCTTTTTGTTTCTGCCTCAATAGACACAGAATGCGTTACGCAATTCTTAAGAGAGTGGCTCTGTTAAGGTCCTTGGAAGAGGAATTTTAAAATTCATACAACTGAATGTGATACCCTACGAACTATGTTAATTTAATATCTAAAAAAATTTTCACTACTCAAGTGAGACTACAACTGAGGATTTGCACGATACTGGACTTTAATTGCTCGTTCTTACTGCTCTCAAAGTACAAAATTTAAGATATTTCAGTAGCTGTCTGAAACCTGCTCAAATTCTTGAAAGGCTGTAACAGAGTTCTAAAAGCATTATGTTTGTAAACAGAACCAAGACAGATTTAAGTAAAGATACTTAAAATTAAGTAATAAAATTGAAGCAAGCTATATGCTCACTAATGAAATACAAGAACTGTTTAGAAATGCAGAGCCATACTACGTTTTCAAGCATGGGCAGTGTACAAAATTAAATCAATTAAGCAGGAGGGGAGATTTAATAAAAATGGATTGCTCTATGTTTCAGCTGAGGCTTTTTCATTCAGCAAACAGCTGACACTGTTCAGTGTTACTGGTATTACAGCAGAGCTACCAAAACCTGTGTGTGTACTTGCTTCAGTCACTTCCATGCAAAGTGAAGCATCTGAACTGGGGGTAATGAATGCTGGGGTGATGATACTGTTGGCCTCTGCACTGTTATGGCTGAGAAGTGTGGGGGACAGAAGCCTCCAGCACTGGTCAGAGAGACAGATAGGATAAAATGTTATAAACCAGCTAAACCTAGATTGACAGATGTAGTCAAATTGCTGCCCTAAAGACTACCAGATGGTTTTAAGAAACAAAGGGACAAACCAAACAAGAGAGCTGGGTTCTCAGATGTATTTACTAAAAGACCAGAAAATTTTACTAAAATCACATGCAATGGCATTCAGTACTGGAATGGCTAATCCACCTTGTGAATTCATGTCTGCTCTGTTAAGATTTCCCCTCTATAATTCTTAAACTCTAAGCAGGTCTGACCATTATTCATCTTGAGATTCTGAGAAGCTTAAAGCCTTTTATTAGATGATCATAAAGAATTTCCATTTAGCCCTTGAACCAAAAAATGTAAAATGTATACTTGGAAGCAATGCCTTTAATTTGACTTAAAAACAAACAAACAAAAAACAACCAGAAAAGCCTGCAACTAATTTGAAATGTGTTATTTATACTTGTGTTCCCCACTAAGTAGACAGGATGTCTTAGAACCAAAACAGAGTAGGTCCTGAAGACAGTAACGTTAGGCAACATTTTTATTTAAGAAGAGATGCTTCAAGACTGAATATTCCGTGGTTTGATCATGGCTTTTCAATATAGCAGGCCTTCTGACTGGCTCTTCCTACATCCATCTATAGTTGTTGTGTTATGCACAGTAAAATAGGCCAGGGCTATGCCACAAACACCCTGAAGGCCAAACAGCCAAATGGAAAAACTGCTGAATGCAGAAAGAGGATTTCTGCAGATTTACTGAGGCAGCAGAACAAAAAGGCCAGAAGAAAGCTTTTCAGACCTATTAAACTAAGGGTTTTTTTCTTTTCTTCTCTTTAAAAAAACTTTTGCAGATTTCACTATTTATTGACACGATATGAATGCTAGCCTTTACATCTTCTATTGTCTTTGATTTTAGTTTCCCAGGTGTTTCTTCAATTTTCACTCCTATTCCCCACTGAGAACAGCTCAGTAAACGTTGTTGTACTTTGTAACATTTGAAAGGACAGAAAACGGCAACAATCAAATTTCAGATGGCTGTGGTAAGTAAACTCACAGTCTCCACAGCCTTTCTACAGGACCAACTAATTTAGGCCCCAATAAACTAGACCATATGCTTATGAAAGAGCAGAAACATCTTTTGGAGATGTACAAAAGTTCAAGCACCTAGCTCTCCTTTCTGGGTTAAACATTTAGTGGCAATGTGAGGTAAGCTTCGACACTGAAGGTTAACTGCTGCCACTGAATATTAGTCCTGTCTGTCCACATAAGATCCAAAATAATTTACCTTTTTCATTTGATAGTTTTATCTCTAATCCTAGGAATCAAGGTGTCATTTCTGGAAACAAATTACATAAACACTACAAGGTACTGAGCCCTGGTGGAAACAAAAATATCACTGAAGCCATTCCAGCTTCAAACTCTGTAGGTAGACCCAGTGGTAATCCAGTGCTAATCTGCCTGGGAGGTCTGTGTGCCTCGGTTGTTTGACTCTTTTGTCACATAGTTTCACCCTCATTAACATACAGAAATATTTTCACAACTATCTCCTCAATACATAGTAATGCAGCAGGTTTGAGGGTTTTGTTGGCTTCTAGTTATCGCTACCAAAGTTAGAGACATTTTAATTTGAATTCTTCTCATTTAATTTAAACCTGACTTCAAAACACTTCAAAATAAAATTCTGTGCCCAGAATGCAAGCTAGGGAAAAAACCCCTAAATTATCATTGATATGTGGATAACTGATACTTCTGTAGTATTTAAATTTTATTATACTTACTATTCAGGATCTGAAACAAGGTCCAGAGCCTTCATCACATCTTCTAGCAGAGTGTCAGGTATAAAACCATTATCTGAAGAAGCAGCAAAGCTTCTCATTAGAAAAAGAAACAAAATGCTTTCCAGAAACACAAATTTTATTAAAAATTACGAATATTGCATATCCTTATCTCTAAATTTTCCAAACAAATGGTGAGGTTCTATAAGGAACATAGTTTTCAAATACTTCTCTCCCACTTTAAAAAAAAATGAGGACTGCAATACGGAAACTGCGGGTTTATCATTCATACACTTAGAAGTTTAATACTTGCTAAGAATTCAGTCTCTTTATAGCAAGCACCATTTGATACCATGGGATAATAATGATACATTTTTTCCCTTCTGATTCATTAAAATAATACCTGAATGTTAGACATCCTCTGTTTTCCAAAACATAAGAAAATTTTCAGCATATGCCACATACATTCAAGAACAAAAATTTCATGAAAAATGCAATCATAGCAGATCAGTTATTTTATGAAAATATTATATAAAAGAAATCAAATTATATTTATGCTTTATGTTAACTACAAACAACATTACAAGGTTAAAAAGCTTATGCTCTAAGAACTCTACCTCCTACTGCACAATGTTGTACTCCCCTTACTACTGAATCCTCAGAAAATTTTTTCATGTCACTTGTAGATTTACTACTGTATTGAAAATTTCTTAAGTATTAACTATTTCATTCCTTTCCTAATCGGCTCAGGTGTAAACAGCATATTACCCTGGCATGGAAAGGACACATTTTTGAAAATAATGGTCCTATTTTTGAAGAGATACCCTACACAATGCAGTATTCATCACTATTTGGAATTTGCCTCTACTGAATGAGTATGTTTCAATTATAAAATTTTATTTCAGCAAGAACAGCCCTTACCTTCAGGGTCATATGTCTGGAAAACCCTTCTAGCTTGTTCTGAAGGTGCTTCAGGAGCAACAAGGGCCATATCCTTAGGGGGAAAAAAAAAAGAAAAAAAGGGGAGATGTTCAGAATATTCTTAATTCAGATACAGATTACTAATGTTTAGCCATACTACACAGGTTTGGACCTTAGATTCATAAACATTTAAATACAAAAGAAAAATTATGGTAATTTGGCAATATTGCTGATAATGACGTAAACCAATCAAGAAATATGTTACAGATTATTCCACAAATGTCTAGACAAATTGTAAGTAAAAAATTTCTAAGTCTTTTCATGCAGATGTTGTGGCACAAAAGCTACTTGGAGATTGCATGTATTATGTGGAGATTTAGAGTAACATTCTTTATATCGGAAAACACGTATCTATGTACCAGAGATATTACTGAGTGTACTATGCATACATTGAAACATATGAGAATTATTTAGACAGAAAGCTGTGAGAGAATGTTTTGAAGTCCATTTCACAGAATGGCAGAACATGAATTTGCTGGCTACACCAAAAACTATGATTTCCATAGTAGCTCTCATAATGCTTTTATTTGCCTGTGACTTTTTAAATCTCAAGCACAATCATGCTTTCCAAAACATATGCAGAGAGGCACACATCTATCTCCTATTGTAAAACCAACAAAAAGCATATCCCTCCGGTTTTATGCCAAAACCTATTACTATAAAAAAAGTGAAATTGATAAGTTGTTCACGAGAAATGAAAGGTGGCGTAAAGAGGAAGAAACGCACCTACTGAAGACACCCTTTAGTTTAAAAAGATACAAAGACTTGATGTTCAAATAGAACACGAAACTCCAAAACAGAGCGCCAAAGACTGCTTGCTGGGAGTACTTAAATCCTACGTCTCCTCTTGCAAATCTATGATCACCTATGGTTTTTTTCACACAGAAAAGAAAACGAAAAACTTGCTCAGAAGTGAACGCTGCATTTCACGATATCCCCTCTATAGTTTTTCTTCCTGCCAAAGTGAAAATGTAATGTTGCCTGCTACGCTATGAACAGTGAACACAAATCCCGAGAAACAGCAGCACTGACGTTACTCTGAATGACATGACACCCTGGGAAACACACTTTTGTTCATATTTTATTATATAAATTGATGTATTACAAATCAAAAAGGTACCCCAAACTGTTTCATAAAGTGTATCTATTTCCAGTGCATCTCAACTTTGCTTTCTGGAGATGACTTAGATGTTCTTGAAAATCAGGTTAACATCTGCTCATTACACCTGTATGTGCCTACAGTGAACTTCGGTCTAAACTGTGCAAGTCTGTATTACTTGCAGAATCAGAAAATGTAGAATTAAAAGACGCACAGTTACCTATTGTTCTTTTACCAGATTAAGAAAACTGTTTCAGGAAAAGAACAGAAACAAATCATACATTCGACCAGAATTCCACTCTTAACCAGTTTCTCTTAATAGCTGACTCCAAATCAGTCAAGAATTTTAAGTACACACCTAATGGCATCCAGCATATACTTAAAAACTTCCCTGAATGAAAGCCAACTGCCTAGGACTCACAAACAGGGATAACATGGAACACAACATACACTTAAAAATAACAGGCAACAGTTTTACTTGGAACACGAATGATACAGCTCTTGCTGGCATAAGGTGCATACAGTGGGGGTTACAGACCTCCCCTTGTTTCTACGTACAGAGGAGACAAACGTTTGGTCTTATACTGGATTATATTAGACAAAAAGTTGGGAGGAGACATCTGCCCTGTCTTCCAAGGCTCTAGATCAGCAGCCCATTATACTTTCACTCCTAAGGGTACTCCATTGCCTCTGAGCACAATGCAAACCTTTACATTACCAAGCAATGCAGTGCATGGAGGGAAGGATTGGGGTTCAGTTTGCTGTGATGTATTAAGGGGTATCCACATCGCGTCTTTACTGGCAATGAAGTTTGAGTCAAATGTCAGCCCTAGGAGCATACCGTGCAGAAGCAGAGGCAGCTGCTGTAAGCTCCTGCGTGCACACTGCGAGCCAGGCACTCCGAAAGGCCTTCCAGGGTGCAGCTTCAAGTGTTGGCTCCACCAGGAGAGAAACAGCTTTCAGCACATCTCTTGGACACTTAATTGCATGCAGCAGGATTCCAAGTATGGCTAGAATGCAAATTTGCACCAAAAAGCAGCTCTCCAACATGCTAAATTGCTAACGGAGATGGATCTGGTGAATCACAGCTGCTGGAATTCTCCTAGTTCCTGAGACGCCGTAGACTTACCAGGACTAAATCACTTCTGGCTCCAGCCTACCGCCTCTCTTACAGCACCAGTGCCAGCTTTCACTGTGACGGGGCTGCCGAGCCCATCTTTAGGGCAGAAGCAGACCTGCCTGCAGGTGAACTACAACCCTCTGCCTCCCATAATGTGGGACCTCTCCAATCACCCTGTACCCGAGTACCCCGAGTGAGAAAGCATACAGAAGAAACTAATTTGGGAGAAGTCCTTTTGGCCTTCTAGTCTCTCCCAGTGAAGAACAACTTGTAAATCGCTTGCTTAATATACTGGAAATATAAAACCTAGATTTTTATATTAATTCAGTAGCATAATAATGTCATTTTAAGGATCCATAAATATGACTAATATGGAACAAAGACAGTATTTAATAAAAAATATTCCAGTGATTTTATAAATGAATGATAACTAGAACTCTTACAGAAAATCAATACTTTAACAAGTGTATCTTCAGGTTTACATATGTTCTAAACTTTTTTTAAAAAAAGTTCTTTGTGGATAAAGGGACCACACTGCTTTAATAACATCTACAGCTCAACACAATTAGTTCAATGATGCCAAACAATGTATGAAGATCTGCAGTTGTTGAGTATATACTCTGTTATAAGGGTAACACTTATGTGGTTATATGAGGTAACACAGTCATCGGGCACAGTTAACCTCGATTCACAAAGGGAAAGTCTTGTTTAACTGATTTGATGTTCTTCTGTGATAAGGTCACCAGCCTAGTGGATCAAGGGATGGCAATGGATGTAGTTTTTCTGGATTTTAGTAAGGCTCAAAAGATCCTGTGCCTCACAGCATCCTTCTGGACAAGTTGCCCAGCTGTGGGATGAAAGGGTTCCTGGTGTGCTGGGTGAAGAACTGGCTGAAGGGCAGAGCGCAAAGGGTTGTAGCGAATGGGGCTACATCTGGCTGATGGCCGGTCACCAGCGGTGTTCCTCAGGGCTCAGTCCTAGCACCGGTTCTGTTCAATCTGTTTATCAACAAGCTGGAGGCAGAAGCTGAATGCACCATTAGCAAGTTTGCTGATGATACCAAACTGGGAAGTGCTGTTGAATCTCCTGAGGGACAGGAGGCCTTGCAGAGGATCTAGATAGATTGGAGCACTGAGCTATCATTAACGGGATGAATTTTAACAAGTCCAAATGCCAGATTCTGCACCCAGGATGGAGTAATGTTGGGCACAAGTATAAAATGGGAGCGGAGTAGCTGGTGATCTGGGGGTGCTGCTCAACAGCAGGCTCAGCATGAGCCAGCAGTGCGCCCTGGCAGCCAAGAGGGCAAATGGCATCGTGGGGTGCATCAAACGCAGCATAACCAGCTGGTCAAGAGAGGTGGTTATCCCACTGTATTCAGCGTTGGTGTGGCCTCGCCTGGAGTGCTGTGTGCAGTTCTGGGGCCCACAGTTTAAGAAGGATGTGAAGGTTCTTGAACGTGTCCAGAGGAGGGTAACAAAGCTGGTGAAAGGGCTAGAAGGAATGTCCTGTGAGGAGCAGCTAAGGACTTTGGGCTTGTCTAGTTTGGAGAAAAGGAGGCTGAGGGGCGACCTCATTGCTCTCTACAGCTTCCAGAAGAGGGGATGTGGAAAGGGAGGTGCTGATCTCTTCTCCCTGGTATCCAGTGACAGGATGCGTGGGAATGGTTCAAAGCTGCGCCAGGGGAAGGTTTAGACTGGACATTAGGAAGGATTTCTTTACTGAGAGGGCAGTCAAACACCAGAACAGGCTTCCTAGAGAGGTGGTTGATGCCCCAAGCCTGCCAGCGTTTATGGGGCATTTGGGCAATGCTCTTAATACCATGCTTTAACTTGGTCAGCCCTGAATTGGTCAGGCAGTTGGACTAGGTGATCATTGTAGGTCCCTTCCAACCAAAATAGTCTATTCTGTTCTACACATACACTCTAAAATTTGATAGTATGTGATCAACTCTTAAATAATTTGGAATACCCCAGAATTGGAAAGGTTTCATTTTTGGGGGTCAGTATTACAAAACTGATTAAGCAGGAGTAGATTTCACTATCAGTCAATTACAGTACACTATTGCAACTAGTTCTCAGTTTAAAATTAGATGATGCCATAGTATAAAGAGCTTATTAACAACAACATGACCAGTGATGTCTATATTCAGGATTTAACTCTAAAGAGGGGATATTTTTACAGTAGGTTCTTATTAATGAACTAGCAGCTCACGGATACAGTGTAACAAGGGAGAACGCTTAAAATGTTCATGGTTTCGAGGGTATCACCAAAGTAACTTCCAACTGCACAGACATTATTTCAAATGCAAATGACATCATTCTACTTTGGTTTATGAGTATGCAGTTCTTTCCATAAAATCTTAATGCCATCCAAGAATAAAGACTAACATTTGTGTTGTTCTTCCTCCTCACAAATTATCTTGTGAATGTAGTACTTTCCACAGTTTCATGTGATGTAAATCAGATTTAAAAAAATAAGTCTCCTGCAACTGCCAAGAATTTTTTTTGATACTCCAATTGCAAATAGTGTGTATTTCTGTTGGCATTTTAATTTTCCAGGTCCTTAGTTATTTCAGTGCATATGTACATGGGAATAACTTGCAGAATAGGTCACTGAATGCGTTACTCAATACTGAAAATTCTCTATGTCTTTTGACTGAACTTTTCAATATGGTAAAGCCTCCCAATTATTGCATAGTAATGCTTTTTATTCATTAAATGTGATTTACTGACGCTCTAAGGAAGTCATTGCAGGAAGGAACGTAAAAAGTTACCTGCCTTGGAGAGATGAC